TCGAATGAATCACACCAGAAATAGGCATGAATTTAAAGCAACTTGAAACTGCAAAGCGACTGCTACAGCGGGAAATGGTCGGGTACAACTGGTTTATGACTCGTTGCAAACTAGTTTCATTTGAATCGACTTGCGTGCGGTTCCACACTACTGTACATTGCCGAGGTTGCAAATTAGTTGCAAGATCAACTGGTTTACAATTTTTATTTTAAAACAGTTGCTCCGTGAGCGGTCGGCCTTAGACTCGTCGCTTTAAAACGTTACAAATTTGTAGTTAAAACGATTCGGTCGATGATCGGGAATCTTTAATCAGTCGGCGAGCGAGGATTAACGTTAAAACGATAATGAATGATTAGGGCGGTGATTCCGAAGCGTTTCGGCGTGTTATTAAAAACAGACAGAGGCGGCTCGGTAGTTGGCGCGGTAATTGTCCAACGGCGCCCTGAGAGCGCGTCAGCACTTTTCGCCTACCTTTAGAGCATGTGTAATCTACACGATTAGGTGACTAAATGATTTCAAACAATAGTCGATTCTTGTGCCGAGGAAAGAGAGAGGAAGAGGAGAAAACAAAAAGCTCGTTCTGCCGGCTACCGATGATGCGACGTTATTAACTTCCAGTTTTGGTTTCTTTGATTAATGGGAGGAGATATGCTCGGTTTTGTGAGTTCGATAACTTTTTGCTTATTTATTTTCGAGCCAATTGGAACACATTAACCTTAACGCGATAAAAAATTAGATACATATAGGTACCTCCAATCATTATTTAATCCACTAATTGAATTTACACAAAACAATCGGCACGAAATTTAATTGGTGGTCCATATTTTCAAAACCCAGACGAAAAGGCATCCTATTTACCTACGATTGAAATCCGTGGAGGAACACAAAAAACACAATTTATCCGTAAATACATGTTTCAGCTTAAACTGTAAAGAAAATATTGAGTTTTTTTTTTATCAACTGTGACTAAGTTCGAAAATCGTTCGATAAAATCTATTTCATAGTCTGTTTGTATAGGCTGAACGTTTCGTGAGTTTTTGTCGGTGCACCGGTTAAAATATACCGTGAAACTTCGAAAAATGATGTGTCATTTAATTTGAATAACTGATATTTAAAATAAATAGATTTTTCGAGACGAAATCGAAACCGGGTACCACCTGGAACGTGCAGCTCTCGTTTCGATCGAGGGGTTATTCGGTCACTAATCGAAAATATTTATCCCCGGTTATTCGAATTCTCTACGCCATTGATTCACCATTGTCCTTTACAACAAAGAAGAATTCTCATGGCTGCTTAAAAGCTATTGGTCGCGTTAGTTCCGCCGAGTTTTTCTCGACTACGATCTTAAACAAACATTTGCCGAAGTATTTAATGTGTAAAAAAGAGCGTTCGTTTTATTGTCTTTCGAGCGGTGCGCGGGTATGTAAACGCCTCTTAATCGCTTACCCGTCAAGAACCGCCGCAAAAAATCCAAATTGAATCGAAAGACGAACAACTCTTTTTCATCCGAACCTTACGAAGGTAGCTCAAGTTGTTTTTTTTAACAAAATAAAACCACGAAATAATAATAGCGGTACGCTTTATTACTATACCTCAAATGTCAATTCAGTGACACCCTGTAAATTAAAAGAAAAATATTTATAACTGTAAATTAACTTTTTAGCTAAGATTATTACCCAGTGTGGTTAAGTAATTAATTACAAGTAATTGAAAAAGTAATTGAATTACTTTTATTGTAATTGAGGCGGTAATTAATTACAAGCTCCTCAATTGTAATTCATTTGTAATTCAATTACTCTTTTCGTTACAATTACATTTTACAATTACATTTCAATTACATTGGACACAAAAGTACTTATTTAATATTTTCAATACGTGGAAAGTTTAATTCCGATTGCAAATCCCTAAATAATTATTTATAACTGACACCAAAGCAAAGTAATTGTGATTGTAATTGTAATTGCAATTGTAACTTTAATTGTAATTGTAATTACATTCGCAAATTTTGTAATTGTAATTGCAATTAATTACATATTATAAAGTAATTTTAACATCACTGTAATAATTAATTACGAATTAATCAAGCATGAAATATTTAAATTTGCCGATAACTGTAAACGAAAAATATCTTAACCAACAAATCTAGTATTTATATTACCAAATTCCCAACAGACTAAATGGAACTACACAACAGATTCGCAATAAATTAAATGCTCAAGTATTTAAACGCATAAAGATCCAATTATAATAATAATTGCGTGTGGCATCGCCATGTAAAATTACCTCTATTTAATGTATTGTTGATATTCTATGGGGTGCACAAAACCGCATTTATCACACTCCAATACACCTTGTGCTACACGTAATTTCGTATAGTTATTTGTCAACTCGACAAGATTTATTATGTGAATTCTATTGCCGATTCAACGAGTTGTACATCCACTTGAACTAATTCCGAAGAGCAAAAACGGCCTTTAATGATATTTTAACGTACGGGTATGCAGGATAGGGATAAGGGGTTGATAGGTTTAACATCAGTGCAATAATCAGAATTGTCGAAAAATAACAAATAATATTGTTATAAGAAACATCTAATTAGCAAGAGAATAGAAGTGTAATAGAGCATTATTGCATTAGTAGATATAATTGACATGAAAATATTTTTGATTAAATCTGCAATTAATGAGTAGGTATGTGTGTATGTAATGTAACATTTGAAATTTAAATTCAACTAAACGTATATAAGAGTTATAATTAATTAATAATAATTAATTATACATACCTACTAATAAATTATATAAATCAAATAAGCTTGTCCTTGCTATGTTAAGTTTATAAAAATGAATATTAAATTAATTAAATGTTTTAAATTTAATCCTAAATGCTTACATATGTATGTACCTACCTACATATAAAAATATATATGTAAAAATAAGAGATTGTAAAATTTTAATTAACAAAAATAAATTACATACATCTATGCGTATTGCTCTATAGTCTCTATACGAATAAAAAACATTTTGAGCATAATCGGCTTATTTGCCGGCGCTACTGCGCCAATATTTTTAAATAAACTTAATCTAAATACGGTTCTGAATGAAATTATACACATTTAGAAGCATCCATGCTTGCACTACGTTCGTGGCACAGATAAAACGTTGAAGAGCTAATATCCCGAATGACTAGCATCAATTACTTTCGAAGGGTGTAATTCGACATTTAATATTGCATGTTTGTTTAATTGTTGCTGTTATTTTGTAATTTGCCGCTTTGTTGGTTTATAAATATCCGTTTGCGATGCGAAACAGACGATTCCTCTAACGGCACACCGATATAAATACCGGCGATAATGATTATAGATATACATATGCAAAAAAGGTAAAAATATATGGTCTAAAATCGCGAGAAAAATATATTTAAAGGCACTTAAAATTTTGATTTCTGAGAAAAATTACGTCCTTTGCTTAACTAAAGTGCAAAATGTTTGTGGTCCAAATAGGTGTATTCTGCTATTTAGGAAACGTTAATGATACGGTAAGAGTAAAATCGTCCGAAAAAGAACTGTTATATTTAACACAATAAGCAAACCCATAGGTACCTGGCAAGGAACCACCCAAGTACCTCGAAACACACCGAAAATCTCCAATTAACCTAATGACTACCTTTCGGGCGGATATTCAAAAAAAAACAAAGTGTTCATCTAAATCTAAAAGACACTTTAGGACGATGATACGGCAGATTTCGTAAAACCCATACTTTTTTTCGTATTATTGATTTAGGAAAATTAAAAACCACTTTTACGAAATTACCGTTTTTGAAACTAATACCCGATTGCGCTTAGTCATCGGCTCGAAAGCTCGAAATTAGTATTGGAAAATTGGATTTTGGCGTCGAAAAGTAAATGCCGTCTAGAAAAAAATTTCACAGTTGTCGATACGGTTTGTTAGCTGGGTAAACGAGACGTTCATGCCTTTGGAAATACATCTAATTCGTTTAAATTCCATTGTTTTTGCAGAGAAAAAGTGTTTAATCTTCTCCGGACCAGCATTCACCGTTTCGTGAATTTGGTACTTGAATAAAACCGATTCAAAGGAGTCATTTTAAATTTAAAAAATTGTGATTTACTGGATTGAATTGAACAGTAATTATTGCATCATAATGTGCTATATTTCGATTAAATTTAATATTTAGTTTATTTTATTATCTTAAATTATACAACAAATTATAGCTTTGATAATAATAGAGAATTTAAAAAGGTTATAAAGGAAATTTTTTAAGAGAATGTTTGGGTAATTGATTTAGAGAAGATTATTGGAAAACGATTATAATATAAATGGCTTTAACCGCAAAAAACAGTATTATTCCGAAGTAATTAAGCAAATAAACTGCTCCACAAAAGTTCGCAAATTTTGCGATTATTTTAAAAGTTACAGACTTTTTAATCACCAAATTTACAAATATGCGAAATTAAATGCTTTCTCTCATATCTGAGTGGATTTTTTTGTCCCCACCTCTACAATTCATACTAAATTTTGCGATTAAAAAACCTGCAACTTTTAAATTAATCTCAATATTTGTGAACTTCCTTATTTTTTGTGGAGCAGTATATTTTCATGAACTGTTAGTAGCGCGTCGGTTACCTATTAATCGAGAACGTAAAAACTCGACGGTCGCATTAATAAATGATATCCTAATAACATATACGATGAAAATCAGGTTAAGCGCTAAAATATTCATAGGAACGTGTAATAAGCGCAAATTGAAAAAATGCTAAATGTTTTTTAACGACGCGCACATGTATATACGGCAACCGTTAAATTCTTAATGTCAAAAACGCGTGTCGTAACGATTTGTATATCGAGTCGATGTTAAGTGTGATATTTATATAATAGCCGGTTACCAACGCATTATTGGCGACATTCCTCGTTTCTCTACGCAATTACAAGGAAAAAAATCCACTTCATTCCTAATGACAAGCATTCCTCTTTTCGCCGTTACAGAACGAAATGGAAACGACAAACGGCCGTCGGTTTGGAGCTGCTCGCCGAAGCCGGCAATTACGCGGCCTTTCAAAGGCTCTACGGCGCCCCGGCCTACGGCTGTTGGTACCCGCCGCAATCGGCCGGCCCCACGGCCGCCCCCACCGCCGCCGACATCTACTACAGACAGGCGGCCGCCGCCGCCGCGGCCACCCTCCAGAAACCGCTGCCCTACCGGCTCTATCCTCCGAGCATGGGCTTGGGCATACCCGGACCCAGCGCACACATAGGTAAGTTATCACTTTATGCTGCTTCTTTATAGATCCATAAATGACCCGCGTGAACCTAGCACGACCACTATAAAAAAAATAAAAATCATACGTCATAATTTAGTGGTATTTTAGTGCTAATTTAGTGCCCACTTCCTAGTTTTAGTGCTCGGCTGGTTGAGCAGAAAGTTGCTATTGAAAATGGCGGTGCTAAGTTTATAAAACTAGCAGCCCCATATTTAAATATTTAAACAAAATTTAAAAAATAATATATCGGAATTTAGTGCTATTTTAGTGCTTTCGAATGCACTACTCAGAATTTAAGTTAAGGTCTTAAAGATATTTGATAAAAACGTATTGGAGTCAATAGAAAAACAGATGAACATAGAAAAAATACATTTTTAAACATAGTAATAGGGAAACGATTTTGATCTCTAATTTTTCAATGATTTTAGTTCTTTTAAAGTAGTTAATGTCAGATTTTAGTGCTCACCCTTAAACCCAAAAAATTTCATTTTTACTATTTTGTATAGTCTGACCTCCAAGAGTAAAGTGTCATTAAAAATATAGATAGAAAAATGATTTTTATTTAATATTCTTTGCTCATTTTAGTAGGAAACCATTACCATTTTGTAGCCTCCAAGAGTAAAAATGTGATTTTTTGGGTTTAAGGGTTGAGCACTAAAATCTGACTTTAGCTATCTTAAAAGCACTAAAATGAACAAAGAATATAAAAAAATCATTTTCCTATCTATATTTTTAATGATACTTTATTCTTGGATGTCAGACTATACAAAATAGTAAAAATGTGATTTTTTTTGGGTTTAAGGGTTGAGCACTAAAATCTGACTTTAGCTATCTTAAAAGCACTAAAATGAACAAAGAATATAAAAAAAATCATGTTCCTATCTATATTTTTAATGATACTTTATTCTTGGATGTCAGACTATACAAAATAGTAAAAATGTGATTTTTTGGGTTTAAGGGTTGAGCACTAAAATCTGACTTTAGCTATCTTAAAAGCACTAAAATGAACAAAGAATATAAAAAAAATCATTTTCCTATCTATATTTTTAATGATACTTTATTCTTGGATGTCAGACTACAATATAGTATAAATGTGATTTTTTGGGGTTTAAGGGTTGAGCACTAAAATTTGACTTTAGCTATCTTAAAAGCACTAAAATGAGCAAAGAATATTAAACAAAAATCATTTTTCTATCTATATTTTTAATGACACTTTACTCTTGGAGGTCAGACTATACAATATAGTAAAAATGAGATTTTTTGGGTTTAAGGGTGAGCACTAAAATCTGACATTAACTACTTTAAAAGCACTAAAATCATAGACCTATTAAGTATGGACGCGGCACAATCAGTATTTTGAGGTTATTCAGCGTTCCTAATGATAGAGAGAGAGGTCCGTGAGAGATGGAGCTAGTTTGGGCTAAATGTAGGCGGGACCAAAAAAATATATAAAATATATACAGGGTGTGTGGAAAAAGGCGATTAATCTGTTAAATTATTTATACGCTTAATATTTAAATATTATTTTTATCTTGGTATCCACTTGGACAGAAGAATGACCTGGAAGAAACCTATTTTTTACAAGAGAAAGCATCTAGGTCTTAAATTGCGAAATCTGTACTGGCTAATAGGTAGGAGGTTCCAAATAACAATACAAAATAAGAACTGTATTTGCAAATGCGTGGGAATTTAGGCTCAGCTGAAAAATGCATTTTGCTCAGTAAAAAAATAATAAATCCTCAACACTATTCTACCATAATCTACCCTCCTCTACCCCAGCTACCTTGAATTTCTGAAAACGTAACTCACGTGGTCTTTTGCTTTCTTACTATTGGCTAATGCATTGTCCAATCTCTCATTGCCATATGCCCAAACTAGCTGCATCTCTCTCATTCATCGACAACACTACCTTTTTGTCTAAACCGCGTCCATAGTTAATAGGTCTATGACTAAAATCATTGAAAAATTAGAGATCAAAATCGTTTCCCTATTACTATGTTTAAATGTATTTTTTCCATGTTTATCCGTTTTCCTATTGACTTCAATACGTTTTATCAAATATCTTTAAGATTAATTACCTTAAATGAAATTCTGAGTAGTGCATTCGAAAGCACTAAAATAGCACTAAATTCCGATACATTATTTTTTAATTTGGTTTAAATATTTAAATGTCGGTGTGCTAGCTATATAAACTTAGCACCGCCATTTTCAATCGCAATTTTCTGCTCAACCAGACGAGCACTAAAATTAGGAAGTGGGCACTAAATTAGCACTAAAATAGCACTAAATTATGATGTATGATTTTTTATTTTTTTTCATGGTGGGGGTGCTAGCATGTAATTAATTACAATTACAATTACTTTTGACAAATTGTAATTAATTGCAATTACAATTACAAAATTTGCGAATGTAATTACAATTACAATTAAAGTTACAATTACAATCACAATTACCTTGCTTTGGTGTCAGTTTTAAATAATTATTTACGGATTTGCAATCGGAATTAAACTTTCCACGTATTGAAAGTACTTTTGTGTCCAATGTAATTGAAATGTAATTGTAAAAATAATTGTAATTGTAACGAAAAGAGTAATTGAATTACAAATGAATTACAATTGAGGAGCTTGTAATTAATTACCGCCTCAATTACAATAAAAGTAATTCAATTACTTTTTCAATTACTTGTAATTAATTACTTAACAACACTGGGTGCTAGGTTCACGCGGATCCAAAAATGACATGGCTTTATTTTTGGCGCAGGTTCGTTGGCGGCGAGCAGCTCGTTGAGCACGCTGAGCAGTTATTACTCGAGTCCGACGCCCGAGGGACCGTCCCCGAGGTCTCCGAGTCCTGATACGCCGCTGGATCCGGGTTCGCCGGGCACGGCGGGCAGGCGGTCGCCTTCGGAAGACGAAGACACCATTCACGTTTGAACGTGGTCGCGCGCAAAATTCCAATTGTGATATAAAAAGTGTACTATAGCTGGACTTGTTAATTTATTTTCTTGGCGCTTTTCAGTGTATTTGTCTTTAGACGGGACTCGCGATTTGTGCGTACGGACGGAGATTTTTTTTTGTAATTATATTAGAGAACATGTTGTCGTCTACCTGCTGTATAAAAATTTCAAAAAAAACAGTGGCCAGTGTAAATGGAATATACGTCCGCATTATTAGTACATAACATTAAAGAATCATTTGAAAATCATTCGATATTTACCTCAAAAACACAAAATTTTCAATTATTTATTATGTTATGTGATAAAAATGTGTAAATTAGATGTGTTTTTTTTTTCGCCACAATGTGTATAATATATTGTAAAATCGGTGCGCAAGCCGTACTTTGTAAATGGTTTTTAATTTATGATTGCACTTCTGTTGTAATCGATTTTTCTTTCTTCTCCCTTTATTTGTTTATTTTTGGCTCAATGAGTATGTTTATTCATGTTAAAATTAGAAAATAGAAAATAAAGGATTTTAAGTTTTTATTATTACACGTTGCTTTCTTTATTAACACCCTCCACCAAATTTTCTAATTGAAAACAATTACCTAAGTTCTAATTACAATCGTATAATGAATATTAATATTTATCGACATCGTTATCAGTAAGTATATTTGGTAATATCTCAAAATAATTATTAATATTATACGTACATAAGTTTCTATAATCTATAAATATAATTATTGTTTAAAAGACAAAAAGTATTGGGAATCTGAAACATTAAAAAAGAAACCTTATTTTGACCTAATTATTGCAGTTATTAGAGAAATAACAGTTCTGGAGATCAAGCCTATAAGTATCTTGAAATGAAATACCTATTCCTCACTTATAATTATTCCTTAACTAAGATAAGATTGTAAAGGGTCCAGTTAAACATAAAAATAAGGTTTCCATTTACATTGGAGAGAAGAAATAATGCATAATTATAGATTGAAAAAAAGTTACGCAATGATCAAGCTTTAAAAATAACAAGTTTTCTATTACTAATAAGCATATTGGTGTGTTACTATTAAAGTTACTTAATAAACTGATTGAACCGATTGAATTTTTTAACGACATATCCGATTACAAATCGATCGCTCCTCGTATTTAAATAATTAATTAGCATCGATTTGAATATTAACGATCAGGCAGCTGCAATTTGCGGTCGCCGTTTGCGCCTTTATATTGAATTCCGAAGATATCTTATTAATTAGCAATTTCATTTACGGCAATGCGATACGACGTTATACTTTAACATTCATAAAACTGCACAATTTTTAAATTAATACGTTCATGTAACGTTTAACTCATCGACGTATCCGGCTTAATGTTTTTTATACCATCGGGTCCTTTTGTATGGATCGTTCGTTCGATCAATTGGAAAAGTTCGACGAGAAAAAATTGTCGAATTTAGGTTAATTAACACTCTTTACTGCGTGCTGTGTATAAATTTGTTTTTGTTTGGTAAGGAAATGGCGAGGAGAAATTTATTCCTTATGCTGTTGTATCTACCAATAGTTCATTCATATGTAGAATAACCTATTTATAAACTGCCAAATAAATTTGAGATATTTACGGCTGTTGCTCATTTTTAAACTACATATTTGGAAATTGGTTATAACATAAAATTTCTGATGTTTCGACGTGTTTTTTCCATTACACAGTGCTGAAGCCTTTGAAGATGGTAAAAAGAGAAAAAAAATAATAGTAGGATGAAACCTATTGGAAAATGAAGAGAATATAACTGAAATGAAAGGAAAAATAATTTACAGGCGATCCGAGGTCGGGAAGTGGGAGTGGGTGAGTTTTTAAGGGTAGAAAACGGTTTATCTCGATTTCCGGAAAAAACTACAAGTCCTATGGAAAAACGTTAAATGGCAAAGTTGTAGACAATAAAATGATCTACAACTTTTGTATTTACACTTTTTTCACATAACCTCAACATTTATATGAAAAATTTAAATAACCAAGTTTTTGGTTTTTTATTTTTATCTTTTACAAACAAAAAATTTTTTTCACGAAATTTGGTGAAAACTTACCTTTTATGTCTCAAACACACTGTAATTTTTTTGATTTAAAATATTTTTTTATACCTTATTTTGACTTAACATCGAAAAAACTCCCTAATTTTCAATCGAAAATTCTCACGTCAAAATATCTGCTTTTTAAAAAAAGTTGGTGGCCTTTTTGTTCGTTGAAATCTCTACTTTTTGATGGTGAAAAAAAATATACATTACTATGGAAAATGTTATATTCTCTTCCTTTTCCAATAGGTTTCATCTTACTATTATTTTCTTTGGTTTCAAAAATTATACAGTGTGTGTCACGATGTGTACCTAAACCTAATAGGTTTAATGATATTAAAAATTTTTACTTAAATCTTACTTTTCTGCCTTATTCTTAAATAATCCGTTTTTACAAGTTGGCCATTTAAATTGTTGTGTAATTAATTGATTATTAATTTTGGTACTTGTGAGATATTACATGGCCAACTTGTAAAAACGGATTATTTAAGAATAATGCAGAAAAGTAAGTTATAAGTAAAATTTTTAATATCATATCAAAGCTATTAGGTTTAGGTATAGGGAAGTAAACATGAACTGTCTTTATTTTTTATAGCTGATTTCAATAAAATAGAAAAAAATGGGTGGTTCCATCCAAAAAATGAAATAATTTGGTATTTTTGAACTTCAACTTTTCACATGTTTTGTATACACCCTGTATAAAATAAAAAGTTTTTATCAACAGATTCAAATACCTTTGACCTTGCTAGTGGCCACCCTACAGAAACCGTTTTCATATCTTTAAAGGGATCCCCGTAAAAAAATAATTTATAAGAGTCTGCATCGGTCAAATTTTCCAAAAAAAAAATTAGTAACTCAAAAAGTATGCATTTTTTCTAGATACTTCTAATGGGCCCTCGTCGTGACACACACTGTATACCCCGGTCATACTTGTCGTGTCGAAACGTAATTTTCTCAGCGTGTCGCTTTACCGTGTGGAATATCCGATGAGACAAACGAGTAGATATACGAAACACCTGAGATAGGAGCGCGGTAAACGGTCACCGGGGAGGTCCAGTCCATCATTCTGCTCGTGTGTGCGAAATCTAATCATGACCCGATTGACTCCAATTATGCTCCCTGTCAACGTATCTTGTCACGGCGAGCCAACGGTTCACTTGGCAAATTAATTAGTCTCCTATTCGATGCCCGGTCGGGATCGATTCGCGTTCGATACGATGGGGATCTTGTACGATTTCGGACGGCGAAACGCGCGTAATGTAATCGCGATTAAAAATTCAAACGGTCGATCTTCGGATAAGTTGGCGTGTTGGAATTAAACGAGACAGCATTTCTGATGATTTGTAATTAAATACGAAATACAAATACTGATTCTCTTATACGAAGGTAGATAGATATTTATATACAAAATTTAAAGCGGCTTAATTGACTTTTTTAATTCGAAGAATAACCTCTCGTGTCTGCGGTGAATGATTTAATCAATTTCGCCTGCAAGGATTTGATGGCAACTATTGAAAATGATCGGAAAACATTTCAGTTAATTACAACCATTCCGTGGGGATATAAACGACTTCGAACAGTGCCGGGGAAAATTTCTTTTTTAACTTGAATTCCAAATTTGAAATTAAAACATACTATTATAAAAACACACTAAAGCAAATCGAACGAATAAGTACGAAATAACTCCAAAAAATCAACATAAATTTATACGGAAAAGTGCAAATACGTTTGCAATATGATCAATTATATGAATTGAACAAAGAAAGATTATTAAAATAACAATGGATAGAATAAGAAAATTGCAATCCTAAAATATTACTTTCTTTTTCCTTTATATGAGGCTAATGGAAATTGTCTTTGTTGCACCCATATAGATGTAGAAAAATAAGTTAATGTACCGCCCATGCACTTTGAAGGTAATTAACTGAGAAAGGTGACATTAATTAATGAACCGCCGTTCATAAAGCGTTCGCTATATTCCCCGTGGTGTATAGAGGGCTCTAATATCCCCCGCCTTAATTTATAATACACCCACTTAATACACCGTAATTTACCAAAACCTGGCAAATAATTAATAAAGCTTAGCGTGCCTTCATAAAAGGGGTGACATATTTTAATAAATTGATTTTTATTGTGTTTTGTCAATAAATTCGTTGGAGATTTCATTAGGCAAGTCACGGTATGCTTTCGTTGTATAAAAGAGCCTAAGCTTATTCCATTGACACCTCAAAATAGCGTAACGTTATCTTTACGTAAGTTACGCAAAAACTCTCCCTCTTTTGCCATTATAGAGCTACAAATTTTTTTATTAAATTAATCGCCATAAAATTAATCAAATTTTACGGATATCGAGTAACTTTGTAACGACCGTATACATCTCGTGTTCCTTTCAGTCATAGGTACACGCCAAGCTTTAGGATGTGGTTTGAAGCCCTTTTGGCTGTTCGATATTTTGCGGTCGACGTTGAAAAGTTTCCTGACCGTTTTTTGTCGTTCGTTAACTAGCTCATTAAATAATCCCCGATCGAATTACCGCGCTAACTTATGGGTAAATTCTGTTATTACCGATGGCGGTGACTTGGATTTCCGGTGCAAGCTTTTCGATTCTGATTCATTTACCGTGCTGATTTTATACCGTACAGTTATAACACAGAAAAAAACGCATTAATATTTAATTTCGAATGTTAAGCTTCAGCAAATCTCGTTGTTGTAAGTTAATTCAACAAAATTGATTTTTTTATAAAAATAGTCATCAAAAATACTATTCAGAGTGTTCCTAAACATCGTGTACATCCGAAAGGGGGTGATGCCTTGGCTTATTTTATGGCTAAAAGTTCATATAAACATAGATCCGCAAACGCTTCGTTACCGATCTACAGGGTGTTGAAATTTTATTTTGTTTTGGTTTTTTCTTTGTAGCTTCTGCATTTTATGAGATATTTAGCTCAATTTTTAAATCTAGATTGCTTTATAGGGCGCACATTATTGGGTATGTCAGATGGTTGCTGAATTCTACAGGGTGATATTCTTTCAGGGGTCATGTACCCTTTTTTCCCCTCGAACTTTTTTGCTGTGCGCCGCTGGTAGATTCTAAATTACAAAATTAATTATCTGTTTTGTTTAGAAATTTTTTTTATTTTTAAACTTTTTTCGTTTCTGTGACCGTTATCGAGAAAAAAATAAAAATGATTTTCTGTACAAATGAATTATTTTACAAAACAAAAACCCTAAATAATAACTATTTAATTACATTATAATAAATGTTGAAAGTGACCCACTCCAACTCAAATTATACTCTATACCCTATATCCTACACCTAATTTGACCTAAATATCTCAAAAACTGCAGGAGCTCTAAAAAAGAAACAAAAAAAATCTTGAAATTTCAACACCCTGTAGATCGGTAACGAAGCGTTTGTGGATCCACGTTTATATGAACTTTTAGTCATAAAATAAGCCAAGGAATCACCAACGAAACACCCTGTAT